CTGGGGATACTCTCTATCATCCAATCCAGCTCCTTCCAGAACCTCTCCTTTTCTTCCAACTCACAACCCACCTGTGGGGCATAACCGCTAACAACATTTATCATCACTCCTTCTATTTCTACCTTCACACACATCAACCTGTCTGACTCTCGTTTCACCTCTACCACATTTCTTACATATTCTTCCTTTAGGATCACCATTTCTCTTCCCATCTGAACCATGATAAAACAGTTTGTAGCCTCCTCCAATGTTTCTAGCCTTGCTGCCCTTCCACCTGGCCTCCTGAACACACAAAATGTCTACTCTTCTTCTCTCCATCACATCAGCTATTTCTCTACTTTTCTCTGTCATTGTACCTACATTCAAAGTTCCAAACTTCAGACCAACACTTCTATTCTTCATCTTTTCCTTGAGGGACTACTGTAATGCATATAAAGTCAAATAAATAAATAAAAATAAATAAATATATTGAAATGAACAGCATTATTAAGCGCTTTAACATTATCATAGAACTCTAGAATATATCAAACACAAGAGTTCGGTGATGTGGGGAAAAACAAACTCTATTTAACAGGATAAGAAACACAGATTTAGCTTTATTGTCGATCCATCTGCTTCAGCCAAGAGTGAAAGGGAAAATTGAGAGAGGAGAGGAAAGAGAGGAATGGGGAAGGAGAGAATCCAGGTGGAGATAACCATCAAAACAACCAACAAAAGTATTGTCATTTATTCATGGTCATTTTGGCGCTTAAAAATACTTTGTTTTAATATGCCATAGTAAAAGAAGTACATTAAAACGCACACTTGATGCTTTTTTTCGACAGCCTGTGTCTCAGGATATACTGTAACACCGACACCTCAAAAAAAGAAACAACTATATCGTATCTGTAGGAGCCATGAATGTTATTTCCTTTTGTTTAAGGGTTAAGGATTGTTTTGGTGTTGCTTATTTTGAGTATTATTTAGTTTATGTTATTATTGGTTATTGGTAGTGGGCCACATGATTGTAGATTGGATCCAGCACCTGTGTTCACCTGTTGCTTTCTTTTGTTTGAGAGAGAGGAAGAGAGGGGATGAATGTGGGTTGCCATATGTTTTTGTTTGTCATTGGGATTATTTTTGATTTAATAGTGAACTGTATTAAGTAAACTTTTTAAATTGGTTAATAAATATTTTGATGCCCCCAGTAAGTTTCTTTGTTAGCGCGGAGGTTTTAAACTTTCAAGTCGATACTCTATCTGTAGATATACGTTTAATACTTCCAGACTGTGTAGTAATAATGAGTCAACTGTTTTGTGTTCACTAGCTCCACATTTGTCCTTTAGTTGGTTAAATATCAAAGTCTAGTCCTCTTTTTGGGTTATGGTAATTTTGTTTTCCTAGTCATGTACAGTACAGTGAATGCTGCAAAGGTGTGTCGATGTGACCAAAGTATTCTGTTTATTACACAATAAGCTTTATATTTGTATTGCAGAATGGGTTCAAACTCCTGTTTGAAATACAGTGTTTGATTGACATCCCCACCCAACCTGTGAATTGCTCAGAGGTCAAAAAGCATAAACACAGATACACAGAAATTCACCTAGTCACGCCTAAAGAGAACACACCCTGGCCTATCACACACACACTGTTATTCATTTACACGTTCACATTTTGCAACATCAACCAATGCAATGATCCAGCATCCACCCTCCCTATGTTTTACCACCACCTCCAAGTGGTTGTCGGGACCACCCTCCCCTTTCTGTTGTCCTCGTCTGTATAAGACCGTATCTGTCCTGTCTCCGTCTCGCTGTCTCTTTCTCCAGCTAACCAACACAAGAGATGAATACATCACATTTTCTAATATTACTGTTATGGATGTTTAGCTGCACAAAAGGCCATGCAGAGCACAGGTGAGTCCTGCAAAACAATATACGATACTATATTATATTATAAATTTATATTGATTAGATAAATAATTAAATAGAAATCAACCTGTGAAAAAAATCTTTAGCGTCTTCTTCTGTAAATTATGTCATTCAATTTTTTTGTTTGTTTAAACGTTTAAAGATTCTTAGGTAACTGTGGTTCAACTCACTTTATCGCAGTTACATAATGTCATGAGTGTTTTTTAAAATTTGCATTAATCAACATCTAACATTGGCCAGACTTTGTAAATGTGTATTGTGATAAAATACTTTGTTGAAATGTTCATTCATATACAAAGATGTATTTAATCATATGTACATAATATACGTGTACATCCATCCATCCATCCATTTTCATCCGCTTATCAGTTACCGGGTCGCGGGGGCAGCAGTCGCCACCCAAATCACATTGCACCATACCATACGTGTACATATCCATATAAATATATGTGTAGAAAATTTGTAGTAAACAAAATTTACGAACATAATTTCAACAACTATTCTATTCGGGTATTTATTTATTTATTTATTTTTTACATTTTTTGTCTCTGTGTTTTACAGCCTGCAGAACACGCCGAGTGAAGACGGTAAGCGCTTTTCTTGATAAACCCTTCCAACACCTGGTCAAATATGAGAACAACCAGTGACACGTGCTCACTAAGGGCTGAGATATGTTTTTTTTTTTTTGCTTATGAATAACTGTCCTTGAGATTAATGTGACATTTATGTCCTTACGATTCCTTATCTTCACTTTCTAACGCCAACGTTTCACAAAGCAAGATACGGGATATAAGTAAAGATAACTGCAGGTGATATTTCCTGCAAGTGGACAGTGAACTAAATAGGAAAGGCAGCCACTAGCGGTTGCTTGATGTGTGGTTATATAAAATCTATAACACAAAGGCTGTGTATGGCAGTGTTTATTTTGAAATACGGGGATTCTTACAATGTGTGGGACGCGGTAGCTCTACTGGCAACTTTGTGTCATTGGTAAATCGGAATAAAAGATTCTGAATACTGAGTTTGTCAATTGTATATACAGTGTTCCCTCTCTATTTCACGGTTCTCCTTTCGCTCCCTCAGTACATTCCAATACTTGTGAAATTTTCTTTACGCACGGAATATAGAAAAAAATTAACTAAAAGAACTAAAAGACAAAATAATTATACATTTGAAAGTTTTGGCTTTAAAAAGCCCATTTGCGAACAATTGATGGTAACTTTGTTTACTGCTAATACAATGCTGACTGGCTCATGCATCGTAGCATCTCTAAGCATCTTCCCTTGTGTGTGGGAAAGGGTAATACAGTCTAGGGAGGGTTGATAACAGTTTGGGGTTCATAAAGGGTAAATATAAACCTAAATAATATAATAACTAGCTCACCTCTACTTTGTGATCCATTCCCATTTCACGGTGGTCTTGGAACGAGATAGGAGAGGGATCACTCTATATAAATACTTTCATTGTCCACTTAGACAATAGGAGCTCCATTTGGGTGTGTGATATAAAAATTACCCATTTCCTCTGTGGACTTCGGTGAAGGGAGTAAACAATTCCAGTAAGACCCAGGTTGTTGTTTTTTTTTAAGATGTTGCAGATTCTATTGATGTATATTCTTGATTTGTTCCAATTTTTTTACTACAAGTTAAATACAGTTTGGGAGCAAAATCAAAAAAGAACTGTATTGATCCTTAGCTGAACTCCCTTGTCTTCCACCAGAATTTTAAACTCAGGTCTGTCTCGTTATTTGGCATATGACTAAGACATTTTCATCTGCCTGAGAAACTGAGAAATTGCTGGTTCAAGCCCACCGAGTATCAGTGCCTTAAATGATCCTTTTTCAGCAATTCCCTGGTGCACTATCAATAACGTTCAATCCAACCTTAATTATCCCACAAAACGGACAAGTGCGCCAGGGATTTAGTGTACTTTTTGTTATATAGTAATTATTCACAAAGTTCAATTACTGCTCACACATTTTTGAAAGAGAGAAAATAGAGAAACGTGAATTTAACATTATGGGATTTATCACAGGGTAGCCCTGGATTTATCACCATTAAAGATAAGTTGTAGTTGTAATTGTAATTAGTCACGATTAATTGAAATAAATTACACAATTTGACAGAATAAAAGTCTATTGGTGGAACAGAAAGGCCAGACAAAGCCTGTTTTTTGTGACAAATCCAAATGTTGGTAGATTTTAGTCATTACTATGCATTGTAACTAGTGAGGCACCAAAATGAAAATAATTGGCCGAAACCGAAAACAGAAAATGAGGAAACCAAGGCCAAAAAATCTAAACACCGAAAGAAATTATTATGCCAATTATTAGTACAAATGCATTTATGGCTATGACTGTGAACTAAACCTAAACAAATCAAGGATATTGCATAAATTAATGTTAATGTTTTAAAAATAAAACAATTACAAAATTATGAAAATATTTTTCCAGCACATTCCAACAATGCACAATATAATATAAAATAAAATTCAAAATAAATTGTTAAACCTGACCCCACACATATGTGTACATTAAATGATAATGTAAAGGCCTACCTATTGTAAAATTAAATATGTTCTCTCATAAAAACACAAAGTGCATTTAAGTCAGTTTTAAGTCAGTTGCTGGATTTTCATTTCTCGTGTGCGCTGCTATATTCCTGCATCCAAGTAATGATCTTTATCACGGATCAAGTACAGTTGCGACAAAGTGCAGAGGATCCAAATAGATTTCAGTGAAATGTGTACTGACAGACTCTGTGAGTGTACTTCTCATTGTTTTCACTTCATGGTCAGTCTCAACCTCTTTGCTTAGAAGACGTTTTAGGGCTGTGATTAAAGGAATAATATCTCCTACAGATGCATCAGGGCAGCTGATCTCTTTAGGTAGCTGCTCAAACCGGGCAAGAAGATAGAGAGAATGTTCTCTATTAGGACCCACTGGCTATGCATTGTATGCAGCCAAGACTCGTTTTTGCACAAAGAGGCTTTCCTTCCTCTCAAATTCAGCATAGCGATCAGGATGTTTGGATTTTAGCTTGTAAATTAAACCCGACGTGGAGAAATTCTTTGCAGATGAACCCCCTCTTGAAATTTCAGCATTACACGTTTTGCGAATCGCTATCCGTTGGTCTTTCTAATATATATTGAAATACGTCAACATGTTGCCACTATCAGCAGTTTTTGCTTGCATCATTATAACTTCCTGTTTTGTCGGCCAGTCTTTAGGTGGCCGAAAATTTGGTGCATCACTAATTGTAACGGTGGCTTGAAGAACATGTTGAGAATTTCTTTCAAAATTTTGATGAAGTTATTGTCCAGAATAATATTAGGCCATCAAGCCATCACAATCAATTTAACAATTCTTCTTGTCAGTTGTAGACTTACTTACTGTTCTACACTCAGTGACAATGGTACGATGCAACCAAATACACAGTATTTGTTGTTTTTTTAGATATACATATTGCTTGTGTGTCATATTGCTTGGGTTTAAAAAACATGAATCCGATTAACCATTGTAAATTAATTAATGAAACTGACATGTTTGTAATTCAACAGAACTAATTATTATATTATAATAGTTATTATGTGAGCCCTCTTTTAACCGTAGACAAATCCGAGCAAGTAGATCAAAATTAAATTTCGCTGGTGTTATAGATATTACACACTTGGTTTACCCATATTTATTAAGTCAATCCCTGCCCTCTAGTGACTAGGATTTTGGCGCTCTCACTGCCACCGCCCAGTTTAGATTCTTGGTCAGGTAAACCTTATTGACTGCTTCCATAGTGTAGCAGTTATCATGCCTGCCTAGGAGCCAAAAGCAGAGAGTGCTCAGTTCCCTTATGGCGTCTGCTGTGGCAGATTGTGTCGGTTGCAAGGACTCCCACTATAAATTTGTTACCTCTATAGTGGTAGCGGTTAGCATGCCTGCCTCGCAAGTCAAGAATCCTGCGGCAGACCTGCTGTTAACATAAGAAATTCCACAACAGAGTTACACTTTTTCATGAATATGGGAGCCAAAGAGACCACAAGACCAGGAAAACCACATTTATTTCCCCTAAATTTTTGTTGCTTTGAATATACAAGATGTGTTGAGATATTAAAAAACAGACAACACTTTTAGTGCTGCATTTAACTACAAGCCAGTGCAAAGACTTTATTTTTTCCCCATTTACCTGCAGGTGTGTTGGCCTCCTGTGACTTCAACCAAGACAGTCAACCGTTGTGCAGGTTTACCCAGGATACTGAAGACCAAAGTGACTGGACACGGCATAAAGGTCCTACCCCAACACCTGGCACTGGACCTAGTGGAGACTACCCTGATGGAAGTCAGTGTGAAGTGCATAGTTTCTTACAAGTGTTTAATTGGTGTTTATTCACCAGTTACTATTAAGGTCAATTTGTTGGAGTTAAAAGTATTTGTGCGACTGTGTTTGCAGAGGGATATTACATTTATCATGAATGTGACAATGTGGCTAACCAGAATAAAGCCCGGTTGCTGAGTCCTGCCCTCACAACATCGGCCTCTGAAATGTGCGTCCAGTTCCGCTACTACATGTATGGTGTAGATGACAAGAACACATTGAAAGTTCTAGCCAAGAAACCGGGCGGGGAGACAGAATTGTGGAAGAAGACCGGAATTCAGAGTCCTTCCTGGCTGGAGGCATCTATCACTGTTTCCAATACCCGTGACCAGAGCATCAGAGTAAGTGTCAGCGAGTTGGCGAAGGTCAAACCCAATAAAATGACATTCTTAACTTCAGCTATAAATTTTTCAGGTTATGGTATGTTAGAGCGTGGTTGGAAACTGTAGTCCCATCATATAACAGCCGTGTATTTGGTATGTTCCATGGCAGCCTGTGTGGTTTGCAAAGACTCACACGTGAATTTCTTCACTTTGGGACAAATAAGGGACTAATTGTAATATTTATATTATATTAAGATCTCAGACATCTGTTATAGAGATTTTTTCTCTCAATTTTGGTGCAGTTAGTACACCCCTGTTATACTGTATCCCCGGCCAAGCCGAACCACCTCATACATGGCCGGTACATTTCCGGGTCCACAGTCGGACCACCTCTGGACTAGTTGGCCTACCCTCTGGACCGGCCGATTTATCTCCGGTCTAACTGGGACACCTCTGGTCAGCATTTATGTGGCAAACCCTAGGCTTTTTTCAAAAACCATCTATTGTACTAACAAAACCTGGTGGTGGAGTCTTTAGCTAACATATTTTCACACCTCCTAACAATGGTCCATAACCCGGTAGTTATTTATAAACAACAGACAATCTGTTTAGGCCGTATGACTTCCTTGCCCTCTATTTGTGTGCCTTCAGATTGTATTTGAAGCCCAGAGAGGCTTCTCTTCCTCTTGCGACACAGCTTTGGACAACATTGTCATCAGTGAAGGAGCTTGTCCCTGTAAGTCCACACATATCCACAATTTTAGCCTCCCCCATGTTAGAACCTGTACTGATTGACTACTTTGGCCCACAGCTTGTATTACTGGATGTGATTTTGACGTGGATTTGTGTGACTGGACAACACACTTTGACCACTCTGACATCTATGGCTTTGAGCAGTGGAATGGTCCAACAGACACTGAAGGCACTGGTCCAGATGATGACTTCTCTAAACCTGGGTGTAAGTCAAACATTTTTTATTTTAAAAACACAACAGCCAGAACACTAGCTTTAATTAATTAATAAGTTGGGACTAAAATTAGGTACATTTAAATGTTATTTGAGAATTAAAATGTACAGGTCAAAGATCAAAGTGAATAAATAAAAATGGTACAATTGTCCTTCGCATTAATTAGAGTATGAGGGAAAGTTGGCACAAGTCGAGCAGTACAGGAGCATGCACACAACCACTAGGTCACCTAGACCCAAAGGACAACATGAGGGTTAAAGTTGTTACTAAAGTAATTATTAATAATTACTTGAGGATTAAATCACCATAAATAATTTTTTTCTTCATTCTTTATCAATATTATTGTAATAATAGGATAGCGGTGGATGGATTTCTCAGTCTGATATCTTTATATAATAGTTATAATAGTATATAATATAATAATAGTTTGTCACTGGAGGTACCAGTACCCTAGTATATATTTTAATGAACTGTTTTCTGACATTCTTTTGCTTCATACATAGTGGGCTCCTACATGCTGATGGACTCACCTGCAGCTGTGCCTGGTGCCACTGCTCAGATCAGAAGTCCTCTGGTGACACCCATCAATGGTTGCCTGGACCTCCTGTTCCACTATTACCTTTATGGAACTAGCACTCAAATGCAGATCACTGTACACACCATCCCTACAGGTCATAACGCTATAAACTGTAATACACAATAAGATTTAATTGATATTAGTCACTAAAAGTGATTAATGCATGTGTTTACCAGGTGGTACCAGTCTTGGACCTGCTCTTTTTACTAAGAGGGGGAACCAGGGTAAAGGCTGGAAGCTGGCTGAAGTCCGGTATCTGGGAACAGATGCAATCAAGGTTAATAACAGAGCTTTAAAGCATTTACTGGGTGTGTATATTTTCACACTTACCGAAATTTGTATATTTTTATTTTCATATTTCAGTTCGTGATCATGGGCACCTATGGAGAAACCTCTGAAACAGACATTGCTATTGATGCTGTATGTGTCATGACCTGCAGAGGTGAGAAACAAAAAAGGAATTGTGTTATTTTATTTATTATATTGAAGAAAGCTTTATGAAGAAATTATTAATTCTTTTCATTTATAGCTCAGCCAACAACTCTACCACCAATAACTTCAGCAGTTAAAAGAAACATGCAACAAGAGAGAATTTCGGCGGCAAATTAACATACAGCGTTTACTTTACACATTTACTAAAGGTACGTAAGGACTCCTCGTACCTAGGCTTAATGCTTGATGATAGACCGTTATACAGTAATAAACTAATGTGCCCAAAATGCTAGCCTTACTTGAAAGTGTCTGCTCGCGTGCACACTACACCTAAACCAACAACTCCTGTGCAGACTGAGGTGGGGACGTATAGGTTACGGTCCCAGTGGCGTAGTTGGTTTCCTGAGTCCACAGGTGGGCTGTGGATGTACCTACATAACATATCCTTCTTTGCTTCCTGATATTTCTGCCAACCATTTCTCTTCATTTTTTTGTGCTGTACAGATCTGTGCCCTCCCAATGCAGAGTATATAGAATGTGGCCCACCTTGTATCCCTTCATGTCAGGAACCCTCCACCAACTGTTCTGGGTCCTGTATCAGTGGTTGCTTCTGCAAACCAGGCTTTGTCTTCAAGGGTCAACGATGCGTCCCACTGGAAAAATGTGGCTGTCTGGATGACCAAAATAACTATTACGAGGTCCAGTATTATTTTGTTATTTTTTCAATACATGTAAAATTTGTTTAACATTGACTTAATATAAAACAAAAAATGTACTTTCCCATCATTTTCTTATTTGGTTTCCTAATTTTTTCATAGCCGGGTGAGATTATATTTGGAGATGGCTGTTCAAAGCTGTGTCGCTGTGTGGGAAATTACACTCTGGACTGTGTGGATAACTCTTGCAGCCCCACTGAAGAGTGTCGGGAAGTAAATGGTGTTTTTGGCTGTCACAACAAAGGTAATTATTTTTAGGGACTTGACTATACCATATATATAGCAGTTTGAAATGACCAAGTGTGATCAAACATTGACTTCTCTCAACATCTAAAGGAGATATTGCAATTTGAGACATGATAATTGTAGAAGGTCATACAATTAAGCTCAAAGAGCATTAGGTAAAACACTAAACAAAACACTGCAACCAACCATTTTATTTAAAAGAAGAACTGTAACTAGAGTATGCAAAAGTTAATCTCATCTTGTCTAGAATCAGCTCCCTCCGCTTGTGCCAGTCCAGGTCATCCTTTTAGCTTGCCACTTTTAACCACTTCATCTCACAGGAAGGCTAACATTTCCCTCGAGTTAGACTTTGGTTTGCCACTGTAAAACATCTAGTGGGCCATGCCTTGAACACGTATTCTATTCTTTTTCACCGTCTTATTTTGTGGAAGGGTTTGGGTGTCCAAAAGACCAAAGACCAAAAGATTTGTCCTCTGGGGCATCTAAGTGATAAAAAATATTTTAATAAAAAGCAAAC